TGTGTGTGTGTGTGTGTGTGTGTGTGTGTGTGTCTGTATGTGTTGGGAATTTTTTTTTGTTTTATTAAAATACATTAATTATACAAAGGAGTTTCATTATATTTCCATATGTGCATATAATGTATTTTGATAGAATTCACTTTCTATTTTACTCTTTAGAATGGGGAATAGTCACCTTTATCCCCTTTTATGAGCAATTTTCAATGGGCCTCATTTTTCTATTTCATACATATGTATAAAGTATAAGAAGAGACTATGTTACTTGATCTCGCTTCTCATTTTCTTGATTCAAATGTAGATTCCCAGTACTTCAGATTCATTTGGTTATTGTAGAAACTGTGTATCATGTGTGCTAGTGTAGGTCAGAGCTCCCCATATAGGCCCTGAGAAGCAACACCTTGATCTTGATCCAGTTTGATACTAGCTTGCCCACTGTAAACTGGCCTGTTCCCCATGCTGTGTGCCCTACTTGTGACAGAATCTGGCAGTGAAAACTTCTATTATGAAGTACTCACATACAGATGTTAAAAAGTTGGCCATGGGCCTAAGGAAGAAAGATTTGTCTTCTTTTGTGAGACACCTGAGAAGGTAAACTTGGTGCATGTCTAGTAAAAAGTTCATTAATGGGGAAGCTATAGTTGAGACTTAAGGAATCTGATAGGTAAAATTTACCTTTGTAATATAAACAGAGAATTTGCAAATAGTTAATAGTTTTAGCCAGAAGTTCTAAAACATTTTGGTCTTAGGATATGGTTAAACTTAAAATTATTAAGTTTAATAATTAATTAAACTTATTATTATCAGTAATTATTAATTACTGATAGTCTAACTATCAGTAATTTACTGTGCTAGGAATGAAGACTGAGAAACTAAAAAACAATAAGAGCATTTCATGTTAACATAAATAACACATTTTAACAAAACAACAAAATTTAATGAGGCAGGTAGCATTATTTTACAATTTTGCAAATCTCTTTAATGTCTGGCTTACACGTGACAACTGGATTCCTATTCCAGCATTTCCACATATTGTTTTGATGAAAGTATATGAAGAATATGAATAGATGTGGTCAGAAAAAACCTTTTCAGATAATTACTGATATTCTTCTTTGATACTTCAAAAATAAACAAATAGCAGTTTCTTAACTAGGTTAGTCACAAAACAATCTGAATCCTTGACATTGTCTATTACATTAAAATCCATTGGTCTGTCTTGCAATTAGAATGGATCTCTTTACCCTTGTATGATTTTGTAACATTATACACTGGTTGTTTGAGTTACACCGTCCTTCCAAATGTTAATACATCTCATTTTACACAGAAATACACACCTTTGATAATGATTTAGTTCATTTTTCTCTTGCTATAATAGAACACCCAAGACGAGATAATTTATAAGGAAAAAAGGTTTATTTTGGCTTATGGTTTTAGAGGCTGGAAAGTGTCAAGAGCATGGCACTAACAAGTGAGAGCCCTGTGTTGCTTCAATTCCTGGCAGAAAATGTGAGGGTGAGCAGATGTGTGCAGCAGGGAGAGAACATGAGGTAGATTAACTTTATAATAAACTATGCTTCCAGTAACTAGTCCAGTCCTGCAAGGCTGGGAACTCATGCACAGAGAAAGGAATTGATCAATTCAGAAAAGCTCTGCTCCCCCACAACCCAAATGGTTTCCCTAAGCCACAGTGGGATCAAATTCGCCACTGATCTCATCAGAATTAAATAGTGAGAAACTGTCATAGTAGAAAATACAAGTTTTCCACCATTTAATTTTTTCTTGAAAAATTCAAATTTTATTATTAGCTACAGGTACTGTGAGTCTTTCCCTTAAACTTACAGACTTCCTTCATTTGCATTTTGCCTAATACCCAAGTCTGAATAACAGTCATTCATACTAGAATTTTCAAGTAATAAAATACCTGAGGAATACATCAGCTTCAAGGAGGAAAGGTTTATTTTGACTCACAATTACACAAGTTTTTGTCCACGGCCACTTAGGTCTGTGGTGAGGCAGACCATAATGATAGAAGCTCGTGGAGGAAGAAATAGCTCACCTCATGGTGGTCAGGAAACAGAGAGAGGGAGGAATGGGTGAGGGTCCCCATATACCCTTCAAGGGCGCGCACCCCCACACCACCTGCCCCGTGACCTGCTTCCTCCAGGTATGCCCACCTCCTCCTGACAGTGCCGTCAGCTGAAGCCAAGCCTTCAATGCAGGAGCTTTTGAGAGACATTTAAGGTCCAAACGTCACATCAGGAAAATGTGCTCAGCACTCAGTCAGTCATGCAGGAGCCTTTCCATAAGGTAATGACCTGTGGTGCGAGCAGAAATAATTAGCCAACTTCAGTCACACAGAGTGTTAATGAGACTTGTGTTCAGCATCAAAATTTAAGTTAGTCACTCTTGCTGCGTGGTCAAGGACGTCTTAGGTGAAACTGGCATCTTTAGAACTGCAAATATGTGGCAGTAGAACAGTCGGCTGCCACTGCCCTGACTCCAGCTAAGGTGCCAGCAGTTTCACTCCCATTGTATTTGATCGGTATCAAATCAACATGGTAAAAGTGCAAGCAACTTCTTAGCATTATTAAGAAAATAGCTTTGACCTTGGGGACTCCCTGAAAGGAAATTGGGGACCTTTAGGGGTCTATCAACCACACTTTGGAAACTTTAAGGAACAAGTGTTACTTGAACTGCTTGGGAGAATCTGTTTTTTTCTGGACTCTAATGTTTGCATATAAATGAAATGCTTGAGTTCATTTTATTTGGTCTATAAGCCAAATTCTAAAAACTTCTGTTTTGTAGCTAAATAAATTTTAAGTTGTTGTAAATACTGAAAGTAATAAAATCTATTTAAAACTTTAACTCATACTTTCTCTCGGTGCAGCTTACATTCTTTTATTCTCCCCCTTTTCTACCCTCTTCCCTTCCTAATAGATTAGTGAAGTTTTATTCCATACTTTAATCATGTGCCCCCTTACCTGGAAGCCACCATGAATGCCAGTGTAATTAGGGCAAATATGTGGTGTGTCTGTAAAGAATGGAGATGGTTCTGGTCACCACCAGGAAGCCCCGGGACAGCTCACTCAGGGAAGAAATGGAAAACTCCAGTTGCCTCACATGTGTAGTGTTTTCTAGGATAAATTAATAGGGAGAAATACAATGCAGCCTCCGTACATGTATTAATGCGTTAAATCCCTCCCCACTCTTGGTAATGCTTTCCCATCTCCCATGAGAATTGTGACTCCTGACCCAGGTGGATTAAGCCTAATCCTGGCCCCCTGGGAGCCTGTGGGATGTTGCAGCAAGTTCAATTTGACAAATGCAGAATGAAGCACAAATGCTGCTCAGGTTAGCTTTTTTTTTTTTTTTTTTTTTTGGTGATAGTTCTAGGGTTTGAACTCAGGACCTCATACTTTCTAGGCAAACAAAGCACTACCACTTAAGCCACGCCCCAGTCCTTAGGTTGGCTTTTGTTTTAAGCCAGTATACTTTCTCTTCTCAAGTTGCAGAAATACTTTTAAAGTAATACATTGGATGTTTAGTTATTTCCTCCCTTAGAAATGTGGTCATTTCTTATTTAGTTAAAAAATACTGATTTGCACTTTTGAATGTGACCTGTTCTTTTTTCATTACAAGATTTAATTTCACATCAGTATAAATAACTCCTCTCTGTAGTTATCCCAACAGTTATTAAATTTGTATTCAGAGCAAATTGCTTGTGTTTCTTTTTTATGTATATGTGGTAAATTAGAATGAAGCACTGTTTCATTATGAAACTATTTTATATCCTGAGTGTGTAGTAGCCTATTACATAGGAGTAGAGTATGTTTTAGAATAGTTAGATATTTAAAATATTGCTTGATCCTGGAAAAGTATAGATTCAAGGTAGAAATCTAAAAACAGTAAGACTTAGAGAATCTGTGGTTTGAAGGAAAATAACATTTCAATCAGGATATCAACAGAAAGTATGACAAGCTATCATACATGCTACTGATTGAACAAGATTTCACCCATGAAACCAAAGAAAGCTGCACTTGCAGAAAGAAAAGGAATCACACAGGTTTTCTGTCCTCAGAAGGTTTTGTCCCAGAAACAGAAGAGCAGAAGTAGGATCTGGGCAAAACCATGCCTCTGTTACAAAGCCTGGCACCCCAAATCAGGATTGATGTCTTCACTTACATAAATGCCATCTCCTCTGCAATTAGTAAAGTTAAGGAAAAAGTTCCTGACAGAGAGGAATATGGTTGTTGAATTCCGTGGTCTGCATGTCTTGTCCTTTGGCAGCCAAGCCTCATAAACATATCTAGCTGAGTCTGACTTAGCTGTCTATACCTTTATTGTACTCATCCCTGCTATTTTTCTTTTATTCTCTGTCTGAAGCTTTGATAGTAGGTTCACTTGGGTGTTTTTCTTTTCATGGCTTTTCTTTCTTCAGCCCTGGAGCGAGGACTGGGAGGCAAATGGGCTTGGGCTGGACTGGTTTTGGGCCTGTGTGATGGTCACGACTCCTGCTCTGTGACTACAGCTGACTCTTCTTCAGATTGAATGGATGGGCCAGTCTGAGGTTATCTCCAGCATCTTTACCAGGTTCTGTGGCTTTCTGTGCCTTCCCAGGTTTTTTCTTCTACTTCATATGGTGGCTCTACTCCTGAGGTAGGGGACATGTTTCTTAGAACCCCAGTAATCACAAGAACTTCCTAAAGAGAGCTGAGAGTCAGCCTAGTCCTAGAGCCCATCCCAGTATAGGGGTTCCTTAGATGGAACAAAGTGTCCCTGATCAAGTTTAAAGGCTTAGCCTTGAGGTAATACATCTTTTTGTTTCTTTTTGATTTGCAACTTTATTCATGGGAGTGCTTGTACGTTGACTGACTGAAGTGTTTTTTTCAGGGCAAGTTTCAGCCCCTAGCTCAAGTTGTGATGGATGATATATTTCCAAATTGCATCTTGTTGTTGAAACTTCCTGAACTTGAAAAGTTACTCCGCCACGTGACAGAAGAAAAAGGTATGGTATGTAGGCCTTTGAAATCAGGCAGGCGTTGTTAGAAAGTCTGAGCGTTTGTCTGAAAATGTAGCTGCTTAAAAAGGCTCCCTGCCTGTAATGCTTATTCTTAGTCGGTGGTAGGGAAAGTTGTCACTCAGGGTGGCTTCCACTATTTACTATTTGTGTCTTATGTTGCATTGCTCATCTTTGTAGCTATACCCAGTGAAATATGCTGGTCTTTCACAGACAAGGCAGGAATCACAAAATGTGGCTTTAGTCTCAGTTCTTCTTTGAACTAGTTCTGTGACTTAAGGCCTTAGAGTTCCCTTTTGTCAAATTATATAAAACTGTACTGCTATTGAGTGCCTTTTGAGAAAGCATATGTTACACACTAGTGCTAGGCTTAGGGAACAGCTAAGACACTGTGCCTTAGCTTACTTTGAGTCTGGTGGAGGCAAATGACAAGCAGGGCAGTGACAAGACAGAGTAATGAAAATAATATGACAAATGGAAGTATTTCTGAGGATATATAGGATGGACCTGGACTGGGTAGGGAGGTACAGGTATGTGGGTACAGTGTTGTTTTCTGGGACAAAATGACCACTAATTTCAACCCTGAAAGATGAATCAGAGCAGTGATGTAACAAAGGCAACAAATGGACATGTGGAAAAGGTAGTTCTGAGGGTAAGTTCCACAGACCTCTGTGTAGCTAGAGTGTAGGGTGTTTGGGGGGAGGGGTGGTTGGAATTTGGACTGGTAAGGATTAGGGAAGGAAAGCTAGGGAAGGGTCCAGCTGGTAAGGGATCTTTCATGCATCTGAACTTGACCAGTTGTGGCACATCACTTCCTGGTGAAGTTTTTACCAGGACATTGCTACAGTGTAGAGAACATATTGGAGAAACCAAGACCAGGTCAATAGGGCTTTTGTGGTGATTCTCATAGAAGATCACAGGAACCTGAGCTTAGGAGATGGAACTAGAGGGAAACAACAATTTAGATACAGAACCAACCATATCCGATAGCCAAATGGTGGTCAAGGAAAGGAAGGAGTGAAGAATGACTTCTGGGTTTGTGCCTTGACCCAATGGATATGCAATATGGCATCCTGAGGACAAGGACTATGGGCCAGAGGAGTAGGCTGGAGGAATGAAGAAGTGGACTGTAACTCTAATTCATTTGAATTTTGAGAGGAGGAAGTGAGCCAGTGTGGAGTGTGTGTGTTTGTGGATGTGTGTGTTTTGACAGTTTGACAGGTTAGAAACAATGTGCAAACTTAGCATCGTTGTCTCAAAAAAAAAAAAAAATCCAAATAGTTTCAGGGTTAATCTGGAAACACAGTATGGGAACCAGACAAACCAATAAAGCTGTGGCTGTTTGGGGTCACAAATGGTCTGGCCAACTGTGACAGTTCTGGGACCAAGAAAGTAGTGATTCCAAGAAGTGTAAGCTTACACTGAGAAAGCAGAGAACCTCACTGGTTACATTTCATATTCGAGGAGTCTACTAATTCTTACTTGGACACTCTTGGGGCTCCAGTTTGGATCTGGGGGTGCGTGGCGCCAAGATTTTATCAAAGCAATTCCGTTAAAAACATTCCCTGATGCTGAGTTTATAGGAGACAGCAATCTTTGTGGGTGACAAATGAAATAGTCCATAACCAATTTTGAAAACTAAAGTAATGAGGAATAATTACAGGTCATTTAAATTTCTGTCAACTTAACACGAATTGAAAAATACAATTAACTTACCCAGAATTCTGCCATTAGTTGTATAAAAACAGTCATCTTAAAGCAAAACCCAGAAACCTGGATGCCAAAACAGGATTAATGCTTGCCTATTTGTTTGCTTCAAGTCTGTGTCTTAGAGCAGGGGCTTCTCTCTTTCCCAGTCCTTCTTTCTTGCACCCCAAATGCCTGGCCAGTTGTTATGTCATTACGTGAATTTCTGTGCCAATCTCCTTTACTTTTCCACATTGCCTAACTGTTGGAAGATCTGCACTTCCTTTTTCAAAGTAACTATGTTATTAATCTTTATATAAATATATAAGTGTAGGGAGTGCACCTCCATACAGCAGAACACCTGCAATTATTGTGTTTTACATATACTATTACTGAATCCTTTAGTAATTCTCTTTCATTGTTATTATAACCTGCATCTATACAGATGAGGAAACTGAGACTCAAAAAGTTCCAGGGACTCGTCTGACAAGTAGTAGATCCAGCATTTGAACCCAAGTCTGTCTGATAGGGACTCCTGCTCATCTGTCCTTCAGCTATGTGATACTTCCATTCCGCTAGAGTTTTTAGTTAGTATCTTATGTAAAAAAGAAACTTTTTTTTTTTAGTCACAATGATCCCCTTCTAGTAAGATAGTGACAGGAAGGAAGTCAGAGACAGCAGAGAGAGCTTTCTGGAGTTCTCGAGCATTGTACATCCTACAGGTCATCTTTCAGTGATTGTGTTGAGTGCTAGTTGCTTGTTTGAATATGGATTATTGTCCACTTAGAAATTAGTGTTTGGCTCCATTATACCATTATTTCTAGATTTTTAAAGAAAGAAAGACCACTACAGAAGGGTCCAGTAATGTCCATGACAGGCAGCAAAGGTAAAGAAGAAAGCTGTTTTTTTTCTGGACTTCCATCCTTTCCACAAGCACTTGTGCAGATTGAGTAAATTCTGAAATGTCATCATTCCTCTCCCCCTCCTAGCTATTGGATGTTAACCCCAGAAACAGGCAGGAACACGTGTGGCACTGAAGATCAGGTCAGGTCCACTAGGTATGCGAGAGCCTGCTCCTCCTATCTTCTCCCTGATGAAAAAGCCCAGCCACAGTCACCGGTGTCCTGAGAGAAGATGACTGTGTCCTTAGCCTGGCCTGCTTCCTTAGTGGTGAAGATGCTATGTCTTTATTCTCCCACTCTGTGGCTCAGCATGTTCCTGGCCAAAGAAGCTCACACTCAGTGGAGAGATGACCCGGGAATGGACTAGTAAAGGGTCATGACCTTGCCTTGAGTGTAATACCCTGTGTCACTTTGCAAGCCCAAACTGCACCCACCGTGCTGTCTGATGGGATTAGCAGGAAGAGCCAGGAAAACTTACCTGATTAAAATACCCTGAGTACAGTTGCCAAGAGTCTGTTCCCTGGAGATGGAGAAACAAGAGACCATGTGAGTTTCTCAGTTCTGGAAAACATCGAGAAAGTAGAAGTGAAAATGCGCTTTAGGCAGTTTGTTCAACAATACATCGGGGAAATTCAAGTTTGTGAACCGATTACCCAATTGCTGAACATGTTATTTAATTGTGGGCTTACTTCTATTCTATCTTTATTTTGTAAACCCAATCTTTCCAGATGTTTGAGACCAGTTTTATAGGCACCAGACACATAAGGGAAAAAACCCTTCCATGATATGCACATATTGTCCAACTTACTGACTCTCACAAGTATTAAGTGTAGGTCTTGCATGAACGTGCTATGGTGTTTTTCACAGCTATGGGTTGTCTGTGGCCTTCTAGGATTTAATGATCATTTTGTCCAGGGAATTTTTAATTTAGAAATAAATTTATAATTTAAAAACTTTCTAGAAGGAAAACTCCAGGCCCCCACTTAACCTCACTAGTGAATTCCACTGTACTTTAGGGAAGAAATAATATTCAGAACAATAATACTTGTTCAAATTCTTTCAGCAAATGGATGAGAAGGGAGTTTTGTGATGCTAATTTTCTGAAACCAGAATTGCCCCATTTGTCAATCCTTTCTCTTAGTTGCAGAGTCATTTAAGTTCTATTTAGAAAGTTATTGCCTATGCTTGTCAGTTCCAGTATATTCCCTGCTCTTTCCTGCACTAGCTTCAAAGTTGTTAAAACTATTTCAGCAATGGGAGGAGGGGCGATAAAGGAGAATGATGGAGGGGGTGAATTCAACTATGATATATTTGATACATTGTGAAAACTTTTGTAAATGTCACAATGTACCCCTAGTACAACAATAATTAAAAAGAAAGAATTGCTCAATACCAAAGTCAAAATTATTACAAAAAGAAAACTAGACCAATATCCTTTATCATCATAGAATGAATGGTACTAGAAAGTCAAATATATAAAAGTCAAACACAGAAGCTCCAAGTGGGGCTTATTGCAGGAATGCAAGTTGGTGTAGTGCTATAAAATTAGAGTAATTCACAAATTTACAAATCACAAATTACAGAAGGAAAACTATGTGGTCATCTCATAGATACAGAAAACGCAGTTGACAAAATTCAATCATGAAACAAATTCTCATTAATTAGGAATAGAAGGAAACTTTCTTAGTCTGGTAAAGGACATCTATAACAAACTTTGAACATCTTCCTTATAAAAGACTGAACATACTTTTCCCCAAAGGCTGGATTTCAACAAGAATGTCTCTCCACCAGCTGTTATCAGTTCTGTTCATTGTGGTGGAAGTTCTAGCAGGTTCAGTAAGATAAGAAAAAGAGAAAAGTCATTTGCCTTGGAAAGTAAAATGTCTTTATTTGTAGACAATATTGTCATGTATGTAAAAATTCAAAGGAATCTACATAAAATGTAAGTACTATGACTTATTATAAACAAGGTTTCAGGATGCAAGGTTAACATCTAAACATCAATTTTATTTCTATGTGATCATGCTTCACTTAACTATGGGGAATGTTTGGAAAAATGCACCATTAACCAATTTTACTGCTGAACATTGTAGGGTGTACTTACACAGGACTAGATGGCATAGCCCACTACATATCTAGGCCACGTGGTATGCAAGTGCTCCTAGGCTATAATCTTGTACAATGTGTTACTGTGAGTACCATGGCACTGTAACACCATGGTAAGTAATTGTATAACCAACCGTACCTAAACATAAACAAAGTCAGTGGAAATACACTGTTTGGGACACTTCCTATAGTGAAGCCTGCAGAGCTAGGGTTACCCTGGGCCAGTCACAAATGAAGGGAGCCTGAACGTGAAAGCCTAGGATAGTACTGTGCCCTACTCTAGCCTGTTAGTAT